AATTTAAAAATTATATAAATAATACTATAAATCACAATAATTAATAATATAAATATTTGAAAGTTATATAAAGAAAACTCGAATGTACCGTATGAAATGGGTTAGATGATAAACATATATTATTTGAAATTGACCTAAATATTTAAAAGTTATATAAAAAAATCCGATTAACTCTTGACACTCTATTGGTACCACATAAAATGGGTTATATGATAAACATATATTATTTGAAATTGACGTAAAAAGTACTATAAATCATAATAATTAACAATTTTAAAAAATTAAAATACATATAAAAAAAAATTACTTGACTCCAAAAAATCTATCAATTCCACATGATTTGGGACATGGGATGTGACATGTATTATTTGAAAATTATGTTAAGAAAGTACTATAAATTACAAAAATTAACAATTTAATATATTTAAAAGACATAAAAATGATTAATTTTTGAAATCTTATATATGTCACCTAAACTGAAACAAAGAGAGTAATATATATTATTTTTAAAATTACCATAATTAACAACTTAAATATTTCTAAAATCATATAAAATTTCGATAACTTTCCAAGTTGCATGACATCACATCACGGGGTCCTGTATCTAGTATAAACACAAAAAACTACACATGAAATATAATTTTTAAAATACATTTTTATTATTCCTTTTTTGGGTGCACATGAGTTCTTGGGTGGTCATGTGTAAGCCACAAAATGTTGAGTCTATCTGCAATAAACATAACCCTTAAGTTGGCGTCAGCTAGCAACTATGACCTTTAACTTTGGGTGTGCACAAGTAGACACTTAAACTTGTATAAAATTGAACAAATAAACACATCTGTCCTACATGGCACCCTACGAGGCAATTTTGTGTCCAACATGACGTCCTACGTGTATTATGCCATGTAGGACACGTGTGTCTACTTATTTAATTTTATACAAGTTTAAGTGTCTACTTGTGCACACTCAAAATTGGAGGGCATAGTTGTCTGTTGAGGCCAAGTTAAGGGTCATGTTTATATATTATGCCTTTTGGTTTTATATATTCGAAAGAATGGATGAAACTATTAACTATTTGTAATTCAAAATTGCAGATTCGATTAATTTAAATTTATATTACATAAAATTTATAAAAAGTAATATTTGTTTTATCAATAAATGAGACATTTAATTTAGGGGAAGAATTTCATTTATTTCAACTTATACTAACTAATTAAAATTAAGTACTTGTTATTAATTTTTTTTTAATTTGTCACTTAGTATGTGGACTTTATATTAGAGCCTCAAATCTCATTGTAAGTCTATCTATATTTCTTTTTGATCTAGTGTCTGAAATTCATTTTTAAAACTCAATTAATTTAAATTTATATCACGATAGAAAATCAGAATGAATAGAAAAATATTAGACATGAAGAAGATAAAAAAAGACAAGAAAGGTGTAGAAGTCCTTGCATCTTATTATTTGATTAATAGAATGTCCTCATTTTCTATTCAGAATCAAGTTTCACATTCCATACTATTGCCTCACTTAAATTTTTACTCTATTCCCCTTGTGTTTTTGGGAGTACATGGTATGTTCATAACTTAGCCTCTGGTAAAGCTAAATTAGCCCTTCATGCTCTCAAATGTGTCTTTCTTAATTACTCTCAAGTTCAAAAAGTGTATCATTGGTGTATTATCAGATACTAATTAATGTGTTATAACAAATAGTTAATGATAATTCAATTGAAAAACATACACTAATAATTCAAATAGAAAACTCATACAATAGTGATAATTGAGATGTATTTAAACCATTTATCTCATTTATATTTATCAAAGCTCTAAATTTTGGGTCTAACTGGCCCATATTAAACTGTCATTTTTTTGTAATGATTATGGTGTTTAGATTAATTATCATGTACTTCGACTAATTCTACAAAATATCTATCACTTCCCATCAACAACACTAAGATAGATAAAAAGGATTCTCTAATATTTTTTGTATTCGTTAAATTTTAAACCTGATATATAAAGATTTTCAACCACTCCATTAACCGCTAGACTAGATGTGCCTAGTGAGTCATTTTGTAGCCACAAATTAAATTGACACTTCTCCTCTATGTTATCCTTCCCATTTTCAAGATTTTTTCACAGTTCCTCTTGTTATGTTTCACAAAAAAAAAACTCAATTTGTATACAAAATGTTGTAGCTCTTCATGAGACCTAAAAAACTCTATTTAGTACAAAAAGATGAATTCAGCTACTACAATGTCAGCATCAGTTTTAAACTACCAAATCTTGAAATTTTTCCCACCCCAGAAAAATGGGTTCTTGAAATCTCCATTGATTAGAGGAAAAATTTGCAGATTTTGTGTTTCTGCAAGTTCAAATGAGTTGAATAAACAAGTAATTGAAGACCCAAAAGAGGAAACTCAAGAAAAGAGTGATGGGGTTATTGTTAATAGTACTGAGGAGGAGGAAGAAAGAAGTGGGGAAAATTCTACTTCTACTGGTCCTAGTACTGTTCTTGATAATAAGGAACTAAAAAAGGTGAGATTTTTATGTATTCTTTAACTCAGTTTTATCCAATTTTTTGATATGCTGTTATATTATACTCTGATTGTCTGGTTTTGACTTGACTCGGAGATTAAGAAAATAAAGAAAGAATTTGAATGTTGTTGCCTTAAACTAGAAATATGTGGAATGTATCAAAATGTCCTTTAATCTTGTAGTTTTAAATGTGTTGTTTGGTGTGTAAAGAGACATTGTTTTTGAAGCAAACTAAAAAGGGAAGTAAGACGAGCTGATTGAAACGAGGGGAGTGTTTGTTCTTTCTCTACTTGTATAACTTACAAGCATGATCCTTTATTAGAAAGGGATACTCTAATTAATAGCACCAAGAGAATGCTCATATTACAGAAGCATTACTTCAAAGGTGGAAGGAACTAATGAAATTCTTTCAAGCATGGTCCTTTTATCATCTAACTGTAGTAGAGTAGTCTATCTGATCTTGCGGACGGGTGGACAGATGGAAATGCCTACTGATGAGGTAGGCGAGGGTAGCTTGCCAGCAAAAGGCATGTATGGTAGTCTTTTGTTGGATGATAACGGGAAGGGCAATTAACTGCAACCTTTTTCTGCTTATTGGCTATTGGGAGGTGGGGTGGGGGGTAACTGGGGCAAGAGAACACAGGGCAAAACAAAGGGCAGAGATTCAAGTGACTTGGTAGTGCTGTCGAAGAGGAAAGATAAAGGTCACTCGAAGTTTATGGAATGCTTGGATGAAGTTTGCTGTGTGAAAACTAGATTTTGGAGTTGAGTTAGTCGCAAGCTCCATTTCCTAATAACTAGAATTAGCATAAAAGAGAGGTCCAATAGTATGAATCGTAGATTTTGCATGAGTGTTTGTCATTGAGGACGTTAGAAATGATCCATTTGGTAAAAAGTTTAAAAGATTGTAGTTTTCTTCCAACCAGCTTCAAAAATGTCTAGTGTCTGATGTTGCTTTCTATAATTATGACAAACAACAGCAAACACACCTCAGTCCCAAACAAGTTGGGGTCGGCTAAATGAATCCCTACTTTCAGTTAAACTCATTTTAAAATAGCTGTTTAATTTACATTTCAAATTTTCTGTATACATGAGCAAATATAATTGACTAATTATATGTGTGTTAACTTCAAAATACTCTCTTCCAGGCTGTCCTAAAGACTGCTTCAACCTTTGCACCAAGGGCTTCCACTGCTACGAAAAACCCTGCGAAACCTGGAACTGTTTTATACACTGTTTTTGAAGTGCAAGCTTATGCTTCAATGTTGATAGGTGGAGCTTTGTCCTTCAATCTCATATTTCCATCAACTGAACCTGACATCTGGAGACTAATGGGAATGTGGTCCATATGGATGTTTAGTAAGTAATGTTGCTTTATACAACTAAACCTTACCCCCGAAATAGTAGAACACATAAGAATATTGCTTATGAGTGATATTAAGCTACTTTTGTGAAGTAGATATATATTGTTCATCTGCCCGTTAATTCATTTCGTTTTCCTTCCATTGTTCTCTCAATTGGAGGACTATAATCTGAAGTTTCATTTGCAGCTTTAGTTGGTCGCTATTTGATATCTGATGTTACTTCCTTCAGATAGTAAATGGTGTCCAACATTTTGTGTTAGTATAAACTCTAGTCTCGGTTGTGAATGCCAAAGTAAACTCTATCATAAAGAGGTATAAGTTTTTTTTTTGGTTAATAAAGAGGTATAAGTTGTTGTAATGTATTTCATATTAATGATAAACCTACCTTGATTGATACGATGTAAGGAGACATAATTAATATATTGAACTTTTGACCGTATATATGTGTTGAAAAATAAATATCCTTATAGCTGTAGAATGTTAATTTGTACCCTTGCTGCTATTCCCTCAATTTAGCTATAAATTGGAACTCAAATGTTAATTTCTGTTGTTGCAGCTATACCTTCCCTTCGGGCTCGAGACTGCTCGAAGGATGAGAAAGAAGCTCTCAATTATCTTTTTCTCCTCGTTCCCTTGCTTAATGTTGCAATCCCGTTCTTCTTGAAGTCATTTGCTGTCGTTTGGTCAGCAGATACTGTAGCATTTCTGGGGATGTATGCTTGGAAGGTATTTATTTTTTTCAATCCGTTCATCGAGCATTGTTTATATTCTCCTCTCTGTTAACATACATCTTTCGTGCAGCTCGGATGGCTACAGAAAGAGCGATGACAAAAGAAGTGAAGGATCAGTGGTGCTCTTGTAGCTTCAATTACGTAGCTCATTCAGCTGATATAACTCTACAATGGCTGCTTATGTTTCACGTCAACTCTGCTATATCATGATCCATTTGAAATATGAAACATCTACAAGCACAGTAAGAATATTTCGGATCAAGTTACCTTGTCTTTCAGAAATAGATATTCATTTCCTTCTGGTTAGGGTTGCACACCTTTATTTACATGTGCTCTGTGTATTTCATTACCCTTTTCTCTATCCTTCTTTGTACCGGCGATAAATTACCATTAAAAAGTACATGCAGTCCCCCTCCTTTTATGTATAGACAATAGATTGTGCAGATGAATTTTTGAAGCCCTAAAAATACTTCTGAGAAGTGACTCTTTTATGTTTACATTGAAATAAACCGCTTTAGCTCAAAGTAAACATAATCAGATACAATTTGGTTGATTAGTGACACTTTATATACTTTTTAGGTCATCTTAATATGTTTTTTGTATATTTCTTCTTGCATAAATGAGAAATCAAATCTTGCAACTAGTAGTATAATAAACTTATTAGCTTGTTTGATGCACCTCCCTCCGTTTCAATTTGTTTGTCTTACTTTCCTTTGTAGTCCTCTAGAAAAGAATGTATCTTTCCTTTTTTGACCAAGTTTAAGACCACAAGATTCAAAAGTCTTCCTTATTTTCTTATAATCCGTGCCCACTCAAAATCAGGTAAACAAATTGAAATAAGGGGAGTACTATGGTAAACTTATTGGCTTATTAAAGCCAAAAAGATGTTGGTACAAGGATGCCTTTTGAGCTTGTGGCTTATTGGCCTGAGATCTCCATGCACAAGCCGCAATATTTTGTAGTAAGTCGACTTATTCAAAAAGTTCAGTGCTCATAGACAAAATGTAAAAATTAAGTTTGTCAAAATGAAGAATATGAAAAGAAAAAGTTAATTACAAGGTACAGTTACATATTTTACTAATATGTACTCTGGGATGAGTTGAACGAATTACTTTAACGTTCTGTTTCCTCGTTGCATTCTGACCTGAATATGCGCCAAAACTTTCATAATTAGAATGTAAGCTGCTTGTTGCCTTTAACAAAATCAATAATTACATTACTTGTGTCAATGTTGCTTTTACTTCTGTAATTTGTACTAGCACTTGCTCCATTAGATTTTTGTTTTTTGCTCAATTGACTTCTCTATATGTGACTTAAACTTGAATCGGTTCCGTGTTTGCAAGCATCATTGACATTGTTGCAACATTAAATTCAATAATTGCATTCTTTTTATGGTTCCTTGTGTTATTGTCTGTTGGATGTTCAGCTACTTGAACCTGAGTTGATACTTTTAGCACGAGATTTCACCTTGCTTTTATGTCTTGAAGGCGAAGAGTATTTTGCAGATTTTGCTGTTACATTTTGTCGTTCATCATCTCCACTGTCCTCATATTCTGAAGATCCCGATGCACTTCCATATCCATATTCTGAACTTGCTTTCTCATCCTCTTGACTGTCACGAACTTTTTGAGACTTCCGTTTGTCACTAACTTTTTGAGAGCGTTGTTTGTCATGGACTTTTTCATCATTTTGTTGGTCACTCTCACTATCTTCATACTCATCATCAGAATAATCTTGATCCTCATCATCTGAAAAACCTTGGTCCTCGTTTTCGGAACTCTCTTGATCTTCATTATTTGGACTTGACTTTTCAATATTTGACGTTGGGGTTGGAGCGGGAGGTGAACTGGGAATAGGGTCATCTGGCTGGGGCATTGTAAGAAAAGTAAGAGCAGCCACAACATCACCAATAAAAGGACGAACCATTGGTTCGTCTTGAAGACACATTGCTGTAACCCCAACTGCTTGATTTAAACCTTTGACAGGGAAACTCTTCCCGAGGCACGGATCTGCCAATTCAGGGAACTTCTTTGGATCCTTGAAATAGGGTTGTGCCTATTAAAATCACATACATTTGTTGATCAGTTAGAACTGTACTCAAATCTTCCTTTAGTTTTTAGTCGAAAAAAACTCAAGAACTTTGAGATTAAAGGGTAGCTTGGTGCACAAAGCGTCCCTTGTTCACGTAGGGTTCAGGGAAGGGCCGCACCTCTGGGGGTGTACTGTAAGCAGCCTACCCTGACGCAAGCATCAGTGACTGATTTCATGGCTCGAACCCATGACCTAAAAGTCACCTGCGTTCAAGCAGGGTTCTGGGAAGGTCCGCACCACAACAAGGTGCAATGTAAGCAGCCTACCCAGGCATCAGTGACTGATTCCACGGCTCGAACCCTTGACCTATAGGTCACACAAAGGCACCATTACCTTTGTTTACAAGGCCCCCCTTCACAAGAACTTTGAGATTTAAAAAGAAAAAATAAAACTCTTTGGGGTAGAATGAAAATACTCACCCAAGCAACTAAGTTTTGCTCATTTGCTGGCCTTGTAGTATCCACTGCTCGACGCCCTGTTATAAGTTCAAGCAAAACAATTCCAAAACAATATACATCTGACTTCAAAGTGTGTTCACCATTTTTTTCAAACTCCGGAGCACAATAACCAGTTCCCATCATCATCGGTGACATGTTTGTCTTACTCCCTCCACCTGCAAGCTTAGCAAGACCATAATCTGAAAGTCTAGGATTAAAATCTTTATCCAATAGAATGTTTGTGCCTTTCAAATCGCGATAAATTATTGGTGGGTTGGCTGTTTTGTGTAGATACTCGAGTCCATTAGCAGCACCTAAAGCTATCTTCATTCTGGATAGCCAACCTAGTGGCTTTTTATCCTCTTTGAGATCTGAAATGTAGTAGAACTAGTTAGTACAGAATCAAGAAAGTTTATGACAACATGAAAGGGGGAAGAGTAGGGTGGACATAAGTTGTTAGGCCTCTTCAAAAACATCAACGGGTGCGTGTCAAATCCTCCAAAAGTAGTTTTTTGGAGAGTCTGAGCAACATAACATAAACTTACCAAGAAGATGATCGTTTAGGCAACCCATTGGCATATATTCATAGACCAAAATCCTCTGATCACCATCAGCACAATATCCAATGAGATTGACCAAATTTTGGTGCTTAAGGAGAGTCAACTTTGAGACCTCAACAAGGAACTCTTGGTTTCCTTGTGTTCCACTTCTGTCTAGTTGCTTCACTGCCACAATCTATCCAAGTACAAACCAGACATCAATACTGAAATCTTTCTTCACCTTGATATAGATGAACTTCTGTAAATGGTGTGTTCAGTATGATACCAGAAATCATTTTTTTTTCGGGATAAAAGTCTTATTTTCTGAAAATGTTTCCCAGTGTTCCGTAAAAAGCCTCTCTATCTCCGTGAGGCTGTTTACGGTGATATAAAGTTGAGGTTTGAGATAATTGTGAAGAGAAATGACTTCAGTACAAAAGCGAGAGAAGTCATTTCTCCATTATGCTGAAAAATGTTCTCTTGAGAACATTTTCTCGCAACCAAACACCAGAACGTGACTTATTTTGTGAAGAACATTTTCCGTAATAGCAAAAACACCGAAAAAAAGATTCTTGTTCAGTAGGTTAAAGTTACAACAAAGGTGAAAAGAGAAAGTTTAAGGTAATGTTACCTCTCCACCTTGAAGTGTTCCCTTGAACACTCTTCCAAATCCACCTTCACCTATCAGGCATTCTTGCTTGAAATTTTTTGTTGCACTCGCGAGCTCGCGGAATGTGTAAGTCTTAGCATTGCTGTTTACGTTGTCGCCTTTGTGAAATGGTTCAGCTGGTTGGTTAATCCAAAATGCATGGAGAAAGTGAACATAAGTTATGCCTAGTTAGGAAAGTTTATGTTGCTAGGATTCTTCAAAAATGTTGTCATGTGTGTGTCGGACCTTCCAAAAGTTATGCATTTTTGGATGATCTAACGCGGTTGCAACAACATTTTTGGAGAGTCCGAGTCATATAGAGGAAAGTAGAGAAATGATGACATGAGTTGGTAAAGCCAAAAGAGCTGCCATAATAGCAATCACAGTGCCTATTGCAGCTTAAAGAAAGAAAAAAAAATCCTCTTGTTTCTACCTGTTTACTGAATTCTCTAATTGCTACAATACTTAAGAGGGTGAGCATATTTAGATTCTTTTGGATAGCAGTTCGGTGTATTAAGCTCCAGTTGTATGTGCGGTCCAAGGAAGGGCCGGACCACATTGGGTAAGTACGCAACCTTGCTTTGCTATTCTGTAAGAGGTTGTTTCCCCGGCTTGAACCCTTGACCTCCTGATCATACGTGTCGATGGTAACTTTTACCATAGGTGATGAGCATATTTACTCAAAAGGGTATATTTTTTTTCCCAATCAAAAAAAGGGCAGGGAAACTAAATAGAAAAATCATCAAATTATATACATGTTACATAGGAAACACAACCACATGATTTCATTTTCTTCAAAATTTCAAAGATCTAATAAGAAAAGTTGAAGTATATATGATGTTATATGATCATACCAGGATTTGGTGGGGTGGTTGAGATTCCTTTAGATTGAGCGACCGGCACCTCGTCCTCCGGTGATTCGGCTTTTTTCTTGAAGCAGGGGAGGCAACTCATGTTCTTGATCCTCTCAAAAGATCAAAATAAAAATAAAAATCCACAATCCCCTCAAGGAAAAGAGAAAAAAATAAAATCTTTTCAAGAAATAATATATGAATTGTGTCTATTTACCAAAGGAGCTCAAATGAAAGAAAAGGTCTACAAGAATTTATTTTATTCTTTTAATTAATAATTTCTTCACGTTGTTCCTCTCAAGATTCCAAAAAAAAATAATTTTAAAAAACTTAAAAATACAAATGCATGGTTGTACATGAATTCATGACCATCACGTTCATAAAAGCTTTGATTTTAGGTAGAAAATGGGAAGAAAAAAACATTAGGAGGAGGAAAAGGGTTGGCAATGGCCTTTTCCTTTCATCCTCCCCCAGTTCTGGTTCAAGAAAGGGTCAACGTAAAGATATTATTTCGATGTAATTTCTATAGTATTTCTTTACGTGCACGGATCTTGTAAAAAAATAAAATTTCATATTGAGCTCCAGTGCACGATAAATTTTTAGATGAGATGGCTACTTAGATGGGAGGGGAAGGGTCTCTTTCCTAGGGGTTGAGGTGGTGTTAGAAATTGTAGGAAAAAGAAAATCACTTGGAGAGGATGCAAGGACAAAGTTTTCTTTCCACCTCCTTTTTTGTGTGTGGGGGTGGGGTGTAGAACAATATATTTAGAATTTAAAAAAATTGAATTAACTTGAAATACCATGATATATTATATCTCCAAAATAACCTCACAAATAAAAAGAAAAAGAACAAGAATAATTCTCAAAATATCCATATTTGGGAGTTGGTTAGTTATATTCTAAAAAATTAATGGATTAGTACATACAAAAAGTTAGAGATAATCCTAAAATTTTATTTTGTAACTCAAAAACTCTAGAAAACTAACGTCGATTCTATATAAATAACGAGTATCGTTCAATAGGTTCTCACTAATGGACATACGAAATTTCGGATCAAACGAAGTCAGCCAGTTAGTCATATTTCAAAAAATTCGTAGACTAATATATACGAAAAACTGAGATAATCAAAATACTTGTTTCGTGACCCGAAAACTAAAAAGAAGCGCACATCAATCCTTGAAATATAATGAGTATCTTTCACTAGATTATCACGAATAGACTCACACAAATAGAGAGGGGGGCGGGGGGAGGTTAAACAAAGTCGGTTAGTAGTATTTCGAAAAATTCATGGACATTACATACGAAAAATGGAGAAAATCTTAAATTCTTATTTCTTGACCTAGAAACTCTATAATAAATGACGATGATTGTTGAGAAACAATGAGTATCATCCACTAGGTTGTTTTGAATGGTCCCACAAATTTGAAATCAAACAGAGTCAGTTTGTCGTATTCAGAAAAATTCATCGACTAATATATATACGAAAAGCTTAGGTACTCTTGAGTTCTTGTTATGTGATCGCGAAACTTTAAAAAAGTGGCGTTAGTCCTATAAAGGTAATGTGTATCATTCACTAGAACGTCACAAATGGATCCATAAAAGTTGAGGTCAAACAAAGTATGTCGGCCATATTCCAAAAAATTTATGGACTAATGCACAAAAAAAATTGAAATAATCTCAAATTTATGTAAAGGTTTTGAAAAAAAAAAACCATTTGAAAATCATATTACCAAAATATTCATGGGTTAACACACAAAAAACTGAGAAAATCGCCTAATTCCTCTAAAATGGTTTCTTAATGCCCAAGATCTATGCAAAAAATGGTGAGACTTCACGTACTACTCCTCCAACTCCCTACGGATGGTTCTATTAAGGTTTTGCAAAAAATCGATCAGAAACCATACCACCAAAATATTCATGGGCTAACACACGAAAAAAAATGAGAAAATCGCCTAATTCCTGTAAAATGGCTCCTAAACGCCCAAAATATGTGCAAAATATTGTGAGACTTCAAGTACTTCTCTCCCAACTCCCTTCGCAGGGTTCCATGAAGGTTTTGCAAAACAACCATCCGGAAGCCATATCACAAAATATTCATGGGCTATAACACACGAAAAATTGAGAAAATCGCCTAATCCGCAAAAAATGGTGACGCTTCACGTACTACTTCCCCAACTCCCTATAGAGTGTTTTGTAAAGATTTTGCAAAAAAACGGCCATATCGCCAAAATAATCATGGTCCAACTATAACACACACAAAAACTGAGAAAATCGAATAATTTTTGTAAAATGGCTTCTAAATGCCCAAAATATATGCAAAAAATTGTGTTTCAAAGGCGCGAGATGAACCTTGTTTCGGACATAATATCGACATAGTTGTCTCCTAGCATAATGCAAAACATATGGGGAATGGTATCACCCACAGAGTTATTAAGCAGCATCTGAGTTCCACAAAATTATTTCAACACAAATGACTATTGACCAAAATACAACAGAGTAAACATAATAGATCACAACAAAGTATAAAATGGCTAAGATACTATACATGTGTAGATTTTTTTACACCAATCTGTTGACCATATGATGATCCAATTTCTTGATAAACTTTGGTGCAAATCTTCTACTCTTTTTTTTTGTCAAAATCTCACCAACCACATGTGGGACAATTGGGTATTAGGTCTTGTAGCTATTAGTTTTTCCTTCAATAGAAAAGTGGCTTAGCACAGACACCATGTGATATGAACCTTTTCAGTATCAAGTTCATTACCCTTCCTTAGGCCTGATTTCAATCCCTTCAACAACTAAGCCACTTTTCCAGTTACCTTCCTTCACCTCTGTCAAGCTCATCTCGAGTTCAACGTCTTGCCCTCTCTTGACGAAGAATTCTCCCAACTCGACTTCTATCCATCCGTCACTTCTCTGTTGCGGGTATCGTGCTTGGGTGTTGTTTTCTGAAGGAGGAGGATTCACTCCCCCTCTCAGGATATCAGCCATCTGGTTGAGAAGTCCCAACCGCCTTGGAACGATTTGGTACATGTGCCTACGTGCTGCCTCTGGATCCAAGAAAATTGTCTGTGGTTTCCTATCATGCCCCGAAATCCCTACTGCACCCTCTGCACTTTGGTGATCAAATCCGTAGGTCCTGGATTTCGTTGTGAACACAAAGTAGGCTGCGTAGTTGGTGTCAGGGGATAGCATAGAGGTGTTTATCTTGCCGGTAATATCAAACCAGCAGACGTCAAGAAGCTCAGCAACCTCTGAGAACCTAAGTCATGAAAATATAGCATTAGATCAACTTGAGAGTTGAGAGTGACAAAATGATATCTTATAAAAACAGATTCTACTCTTCTGTGCTTTGGAACAAAACATTTGATCATTCGAACTAAAATATGATAAAAAGATCAAAGTATGTGGATCGCCAAGTCAAGAACAGAAAAGATTGGGAGGAAAAGGACAATTTCTCTAACCATAATAAAAGTTACTCGTCAATTGAAATACCTGGACTCGGGAAGGGGGATCCATCTCCAATACCGTGGTGTGTCAGCCCAAATAATTGCAAGTGACCTCGCAGCTAACATGTAGCATTTCTTTCCACTGCGCTTCTCCAATGAAAAGCTCTGGATTTCATCAATACCAAGTCAGAAGTAAAAAAAAAAAACCTAAGCCCCAGCAAACAATTGTTCAAAGTAGAGGAAATAAGGAAAAAAGAGCTATGCCACATGTGAACCAAATATCAAAGCAATGCCATCAAAAGTGTAGCAGAAAAGACGCGACGTGATCAAACAACAAGAAGTACACATGTACTTAAAGACTAATGATCAATCCAACACCATCTACAAGTGGGCAACCCCACCCCCAATTTGATCTCCAAAAGATAAAAGATTGAAAAGGGACCTAAGGCCTAATGGGTACATGAAAAGGTCTTGATCTGTGCATCATAAAATGTCAATAACATTCACAGAAGAATATAAAGTTCTAATACTGTACTTCATACAAGTATACAGAGCAACTTCCCATCTTTAAAATAAAGGTTGATATAACCAAATTGCAAACAAATTGTCTAGCACACACACGGACTTGATGAATACACGAACTATATCCCCGCATTAGTACACACTTAAAAGTCTCAAAAAATCAATGATTCCAAGAACTTCAACCACCATTTTTCCTTTCTGTGTGTAAATTCACATTAATATAATTCCCATATTCAAGAACTTCTCATAACATGTGTTGCTCGGGCTCAGGGCCGGCTCTATGTACACAAAAATAAGGCATTGGCCTTAGGCCCCCAATTTTAGGGGGCCTCAATTTTTTATCAAAAATAAATTATGTGTTAATTTTTTAAAGAAAAACATTAATTATTTATGATAAAAAATATATATTTAAAATTATTATTTTATTCTCTTCAACCCCATTCAAATAGAAGAAATCAAGAAAATATTGTTTTATTTTCTTACCCTCTCTCTACTAATACTCGCATTATTTTCTTTTTAACTCCTTTTACACTCTCTTCTTTAAATTAAAAATATTAATTATTTATGATAAAAAGTATATATTTAAAATTATTATTTTATTCTCTTCAACCCAATTCAAATAGAAAAAATCAAGAAAATATTGTTTTATTTTCTTACACTCTCTCTACTAATACTCACATTATTTTCTTTTTAACTCCTTTTACACTCTTCTTTAAATTGTTGATAAATTAGAGTAATATTCTATCAAAAATATCATTTAATAGTCGAAAAGTGTTGAACAAATTGAATTGTAAATTCTTTTTCCATTTCTTCTTAGATTTTCAAGCATTACAACAACCATAGTAAAATGTGGGGTAACCAAATTATCAACTTCATCAAAGCTATGGTTCTAACTCTTATATTTATTTGAAATTTGTCAACTTATTACTTGTAGAACTATGTTAACAATTCATATAATGATTGCCCGAGTAAAATAATATTTTTCAACGTTGAATTAATAAAATCTTATTTAAAACTAATAATTGAAAAAGAAATTGAATAAATCATTTATATATAAAAAAAATATTAGGTAATACTTTGTATTTTAAAATGTAAGAGAAATAAATTTTAAATAAATGCATGTGAAGTTTATTTAGATTTTAGGCCTCTAATTAAGATTTCGCTTTAGGCCTCCGATTACGTTGAGCCGCCCCTGCTCGGGCTCTCACTGCCTCATGGTGCACGTCAAAAAAAGTATTCATTTTTAGAGAATCCGACACATGTGCAGCAACATTTTTTCATTATCACCTCAGTTTTCTGCATGGTACCTACTTATCATATCATTGAAATCATATATAACCCTACTCAACTAATAACATTTTTCAACAATTCCAGATTCAAAAAATATATAATTCCTAAGAAATCGACATAAATAAGCATAAATACAATATCAGAAACATGGAAAATTAAAAATTAAAAATTAAATTCAAATAGTATCTGATAATTACCTTAGTCCCACCGTCGATGAAGAAAGGATGATCACATAGATAGAGATAAAGCTCTTTCTTAGAACCAACATTGATCGATTCCGGTCCATCACTAGACCGGGAAATAATATCACGGTAATCCGGCGGCAAAAACCGGTCCCAAACGGCGTCAGATTCAGCAGCCGACCGGAAAACCGTACCGATCACCGATAACCTACTCGCATCTCTCGGACTCGTCAATGATAGTACGTTCGCTATGCAACCTTCCGGCAGGTGGTAGATATCACCACCGTCACCGCCACCGCCGCTAACGGCGGAGCTACGTCCATTTTCAACCGCCATTGTGATTTACTTGATTATCTCTTCTAATTTATATTTATAGAAAAAAATTATATCCAAAACGGCGCAGTATCTTCGTGATGGTAATGGGTAAGAACGTAAAGTGGCTAAAACATCTATTTATAGAGTGGAATTTGCATGACTCGTTTGTTCGGATATTTTTTTTTATAATGTTATAATAAAATGCAAAAATATATGAAAAGTCGATATCAAGGAAAATTAGATTATTATAGTGAAATATTGTACGATATATTATATCATTTTAAATCAAGTTATTAAATATTAAACATTGATATTGGTAGAACATTTTCACGTGTATAAAGTGTGGCTTACACGATGGTACTAGGTGTATCTGATGTGGTCCAAGATTTGTTCATTTTTAA